TGATGGCGGCCGGATGGTCTAGGGGTATGATTCTCGCTTCGGGTGCGAGAGGTCCCGGGTTCGAATCCCGGATCGGCCCTCATTTTGGGTGATTTCAATCGTGCTAACTTACAGCAGTGAGCTGCGCTTCTTCAAATGAGAAGCTATATTGGTGTTTGAGGAAAGCGAACAGTGGGAATACTGATGGTGGACAGTTAGTCTATGGGGATGATTCTCACTTCGAATGCGAATGATCGCCGGTTCGAAACCCGGTTCGGGTGTTTGACGAAAGCCAAGAGTCGCAATACTCATGGCGGCCGGATGGTCTAGAGGTAGGAATCTCGCTTCTGCTGAGAGTGGCCACGGGTTCGAATCTCGGTTCGGCCCGAAATTCGGATGGTTTCAATCGTGCTAAATTACAGCAGTGAGATGCTCTTCTTCAAAGGAAACGCTTTATTGGTGTTTGACGAAAGCCAAGAGTCGAAATTCTGATGGTGGACAGATAGCCTATTGCTATGATTCTCACTTCGAGTGCGAATGATCGCTGGTTCGAAACCCGGTTCGACCCGAATTTTGGGTGGTTTCAATCGTGCTAAATTACAGCAGTGAGTTGAGCTTCTTCAAATGAGAGGCTTTATTGGTGTTTGAGGAAAGCCAAGAGTCGGAATACTGATGGCGGCCGGATGGTCTAGAGGTATGATTCTCGCTTCGGGTGCGAGAGGTCGCGGATTCGAATCCCGGTTCGGCCCGAATTTTTTGTGGTTTCAGTCGTGCTATGTTACAGCAGTGAGTTGCGCTTCTTCAAATGAGAGGCTTTTTTGGTGTTTGACGAAAGCCAAGAGTCGGAATACTGATGGTGGACAGATAGTCTATGGCTACGATTCTCACTTTGAGTGCGAATTATCGCCGGTTCGAATCCCGGTTCGGCCGGAAATTTGGGTGGTTTCAATCGTGCTATGTTACAGCAGTAAGCTGCGCTTCTTCAAATGAGAGGCTTTGTTGGTGTTTGACGAAAGCCCAAAGTCGGAATACTCATGGCGGCCGGAAGGAGTATGGGTATGACTCTCGCTTCGGGTGCGAGAGGTCCCGGGTCGAATCCCGGTTCGGCCCGAATTTTGGGTGGTTTCAGTCGTGCTATGTTACAGCAGTGAGCTGCGCTTCTTCAAATGAGAGGCCTTATTGGTGTTTGAGGAAAGCCAAGAGTCGGAATACTGATGGTGGACAGATAGTCTATGGCTACGATTCTCACTTTGAGTGCGAATTATCGCCGGTTCGAATCCCGGTTCGGCCGGAAATTTGGGTGGTTTCAATCGTGCTAACTTACAGCAGTGAGTTGCGCCTCTTTAAAGGAGAGGCTTTATTGGTGTTTGAGGAAAGCCAAGAGTCGGAATACTGATGGCGGCCGGATGGTCTAGAGGTATGATTCTCGCTTCGGGTGCGAGAGGTCGCGGATTCGAATCCCGGTTCGGCCCGAATTTTTTGTGGTTTCAGTCGTGCTATGTTACAGCAGTGAGTTGCGCTTCTTCAAATGAGAGGCTTTTTTGGTGTTTGACGAAAGCCAAGAGTCGGAATACTGATGGTGGACAGATAGTCTATGGCTACGATTCTCACTTTGAGTGCGAATTATCGCCGGTTCGAATCCCGGTTCGGCCGGAAATTTGGGTGGTTTCAATCGTGCTATGTTACAGCAGTAAGCTGCGCTTCTTCAAATGAGAGGCTTTGTTGGTGTTTGACGAAAGCCAAAAGTCGGAATACTCATGGCGGCCGGAAGGACTATGGGTATGATTCTCGCTTCGGGTGCGAGAGGTCCCGGGTTCGAATCCCGGTTCGGCCCGAATTTTGGGTGGTTTCAGTCGTGCTATGTTACAGCAGTGAGCTGCGCTTCTTCAAATGAGAGGCCTTATTGGTGTTTGAGGAAAGCCAAGAGTCGGAATACTGATGGTGGACAGATAGTCTATGGCTACGATTCTCACTTTGAGTGCGAATTATCGCCGGTTCGAATCCCGGTTCGGCCCGAATTTTGGGTGGTTTCAGTCGTGCTATGTTACAGCAGTGAGCTGCGCTTCTTCAAATGAGAGGCCTTATTGGTGTTTGAGGAAAGCCAAGAGTCGGAATACTGATGGTGGACAGATAGTCTATGGCTACGATTCTCACTTTGAGTGCGAATTATCGCCGGTTCGAATCCCGGTTCGGCCGGAAATTTGGGTGGTTTCAGTCGTGCTAAATTACAGCAGTGAGTTGCGCTTCTTTAAAGGAGAGGCTTTATTGGTGTTTGAGGAAAGCCAAGAGTCGGAATACTCATGGCGGCTGGATGGTCTATGGGTATGGTTCTCGCTTCGGGTGCGAGAGGTCGCGGGTTCGAATCCCGGTTCGGCCCGAATTTTGGATGGTTTCAGTCGTGCTATGTTGCAGCAGTGAGCTGCGCTTCTTCAAATGAGAGGCTTTATTGGTGTTTGACGAAAGCCAAGAGTCGGAATACTCATGGCGGCTGGATGGTCTATGGGTATGATTCTCGCATCGGGTGCGAGAGGTCCCGGGTTCGAATCCCGGTTCGGCCGGAGATTTGGGTGGTTTCAATCGTGCTAAATTACAGCAGTGAGTTGCGCTTCTTTAAAGGAGAGGCTTTATTGGTGTTTGAGGAAAGCCAAGAGTCGGAATACTCATGGCGGCTGGATGGTCTATGGGTATGATTCTCGCATCGGGTGCGAGAGGTCCCGGGTTCGAATCCCGGTTCGGCCGGAGATTTGGGTGTTTTCAACCGTGCTAAATTACAGCAGTGAGTTGCGCTTCTTTAAATGAGAGGCTTTATTGGTGTTTGAGGAAAGCCAAGAGTCGAAATACTGATGGTGGACAGATAGTCTATGGCTATGATTCTCACTTCGAGTGCGAATTATCGCCGGTTCGAATCCCGCTTCGGCCGGAAATTTGGGTGGTTTCATTCGTGCTAAATTACAGCAGTGAGTTGCGCTTCTTTAAAGGAGAGGCTTTATTGGTGTTTGAGGAAAGCCAAGAGTCGAAATACTGATGGTGGACAGATAGTCTATGGCTATGATTCTCACTTCGAGTGCGAATGATCGCCGGTTCGAATCCCGGTTCGGCCCGAATTTTGGATGGTTTCAGTCGTGCTATGTTACAGCAGTGAGCTGCGCTTCTTCAAATGAGAGGCTTTGTTGGTGTTTGACGAAAGCCAAGAGTCGGAATACTCATGGCTGCCGGAAGGACTATGGGTATGATTCTCGCTTCGGGTGCGAGAGGTACCGGGTTCGAATCCCGGTTCGGCCCGAATTTTTTGTGGTTTCAGTCGTGCTATGTTACAGCAGTGAGTTGCGCTTCTTCAAATGAGAGGCTTTATTGGTGTTTGAGGAATGCCAAGAGCCGGAATACTGATGGTGGACAGATAGTCTATGGCTATGATTCTCACTTCGAGTGCGAATTATCGCCGGTTCGAATCCCGGTTCGGCCCGAAATTTGGGTGGTTTCAATCGTGCTAAATTACAGCAGTGAGTTGCGCTTCTTTAAAGGAGAGGCTTTATTGGTGTTTGAGGAAAGCGAACAATGGGAATACTGATGGCGGCTGGATGGTCACGGGGTATGAATCTCGCTTCGGATGCGAGAGGTACCGGGTTCGAATCCCGGTTCGGCCCGAAATTTGGGTGGTTTCAATCGTGCTAAATTACAGCAGTGAGTTGCGCTTCTTCAAATGAGAGGCTTTATTGGTGTTTGAGGAAAGCCAAGAGTCGAAATACTGATGGTGGACAGATAGTCTATGGCTATGATTCTCACTTCGAGTGCGAATTATCGCCGGTTCGAATCCCGGTTCGGCCCGAATTTTGGGTGGTTTCGATCGTGCTAAATTACAGCAATGAGTTGCGCTTCTTCAAAAAAAAGGCTTTATTGGTGTTTGACGAAAGCCAAGAGTCGAAATCCTGATGGTGGACAGATAGTTTATGGCTATGATTCTCACTTCGAGTGCGAATTATCGCCGGTTCGAATCCCGGTTCGGCCCGAATTTTGGGTGGTTTC